TCTTTATTTTTCCAGATGAATTTCATGACTGCTTTTTCTATTTCTATGAGGATGTCATTGAGATTTTGATTGGAATTATATTAAATCTGTATAGTGCTTTCGGTAGTGTGCTCATTTTGACAATATTTATTCTGTCTATCCAGGAATAAGGGAGATCTTTCCATCTTCTAAGGTTTTCTCTTAATTTCTTTCTTTAGCATTCTATAGTTTTCATCAATGCATTTTTGAGACAAACATGGCAAATCTTCCTCCTTGTATCCCTCCATCCTGTATCAAAAATTGAGCCTCTGTATTTAATGCTCTTTTTGACCTTAGTCTGCTTTGTCTGATTAACATACTATGCTGCCTTTCCTTTTTTATTTTTGTTTTGTTTTGTTTTGGTTTTGGTGGGGGAGCTGATACCAGGGATTGAACTCAGGGGCACTTGGCCACTGAACCACATCCCAGCCCTATTTTGTGTTTTATTTAGAGACAGGGTCTCACTGAATTGCTTAGCACCTCACTTTTGCTTAGGCTGGCTTTGAACTCAAGATCCTCCTGCTTCAGCTTCCCAAGCCACTGGGATTACAGGCATGCACCACTGCACCTGTCCCGCCTTTAGTTTAATTGGTATTTGCTCAGTATCTTTTAGGCCTTTCTCATCCTTATGTTTTAGATATGTTCTGGACTCTTTCTCCATAGGTCAGTTAATTGGAATTTATTATGATTATGGCTATTTTGGGATTGACTTCAAACTTTTTACTTCTCTTTTTGTTTTCTTTATTTTCGGGGGTTGCAGGGTGGGGACCAGGGACTAAACCCAGAGGCACTTTACCACTGAGGCATATCCCCAGCCCTTTTTAATTTTTATTTTGAGACAGGGTTTTGCTAAGTTGCTGAGGCTGGCTTTGAACTTGGGATCCTCCTGCCTCAGCCTCCCAGTCCACTGGGATTACAAGTGTGGGCCAGCGCATCCAGCTGTTTTGTTTTATTTTCATTAATATTTTTTCCTCCATTAGGTTGGAATGTACTTTGTTATTTATTACTTTATTATTTACCTCCAACTTTTCCTTTTTTTATTTAGCCATGTAATGTCTTTTATGATTTTAAGTTGTATGCCAAATGAACATAACATGTCATGAAAGTAATAACTGGAGCTGGGGATACAGGTTGGTGGTAGGGCACTTGCCTAGCATGCATGAAGCCCTGGGTTCAATTTCTAGTACCATGTTTGTTTGTTTGTTAATTGATTATAGCTAAATAGTCTCAGAAAAATTTTGCAAATAAGTTTTAATAAATATTTGCTAATTGGTATTCTTCATATGTAAACATCATTTAATTTTTTTATCAGTTTGCAAAGTGATATGTTACCAATTTATTTTTTTCAATGACCTTTCAATTGTTGTTCAGTGTTTCTTATAAAGTGTCCTCTAGGAAAGTTGTTTCAGTGCATCTGAGTTTATCGTTTCTTTACAACTTTTAGCTGAGTAGGATATTTACACGACTGTGTGTATAGTTGTAATATCTGTTGTCACTTTGTATCTTCTAGTTTGAAATTTTGCACCTAAAGCTTTTTCTCCTGCTTTTATAATTTTTGTAATTTTCCTTCACGGTAGGTGATCTAATTTTTTAATTTAAACTACATAACAACTGTATAACTTGGAGGTTTTAAAAAAGATTCTTTGATAGGACAGTTAAACCAAACAAATGTTAAGTAGCAAATTAGACCAATTTATATAGCAAAACTTTCAAATGAACCTTTATGATTTGGTATAGTTCTAATTATTGATTATTATCACTTCATTAATAACAGCCTTAATTTTGTCCACATTTATTCTTATTACATGAGATGCCATTCATAAATTCTTAACCTGTCCCACATAATTTCTTCTTCCCTTTACAGCTTCTAAAAGCTTTTGCTTATCAGCAAGGTTATTTCCTCTGCTGCCTACTCTAGTTTCTTAGTGAAAGAGGTTTTCCTTTATTAATTTCTTCCTAATCACCTTTGTTGTTGTTTTGTGCTAGGAATTGAAACCAGGAACTTGTCATGAGCATGCTAAGCACTTAGTCTATTCTAGAGGTACCTCTACAACCCCTTCTAACCACTTGCTAACTAATTCATAGTGTTCTTTCTAATCTCTTTCACTTTAGGAAAAAAGGGATAGATCTCCAACCATTTTAATTTTGTCTCTTTTGAGAACATTTGACCTCACAATCCTTCCCACTTTTTCCCTCCCAATCAGAAAGGGATAATTAGAAAACTAAAACAAGTCAGCTTCCTGTCTGGTTGTTAGATCTAACTAGATCTAACTTGAACCTTCTGCATAGTCTCCCTTCTTAGAGGAAAAAGGTTAGATTGTGTTTTTTTTTTTTTAATTTTTTGTTGCTTCATCTTCTTCCCCATCTCTACCCCTCAGCCCATGATGCTGGGGATCAATTCCCATGCCAGACAGATGTTTACCACTGAGCTACGCCCCAACCCCAGAGAAAGTTTTAAACACTTTTCTAATTAGCCTGAATAGCGTAGAGTGTGATGTTTTGTTTTATGTAAAAGTGAGTACAGCCAAGTGTGGTGGCCATGCCTGCAATTCCAGCACTTCAGGAAACTGAAGCAGGAAGAGGGCAAGTTCAAGGCCAGTCTCAGTAACTCAGTGGGACCCTAACTCAAAATAAAAGGGCTGGGGATATGGCTCACTATTCAAGCACGCCTGGGTTCAACCCTCAGTACCCCCCAAAAAAGGAAGTACAGAATATAGAATCACTTAGCAACTTACCAATCATTCACTCCTCTCTTCAATCCTTTCCTGTGCATGTGTACATTTGCTTCCTATGAATTATTGTTGAGCCTGTGTCTTGAATTCAGTATCTTTCATGTCGTTTTTTATGGATCTTTTTTACCATTTTTATTGGCAACAGATATTTTATGGTATGACTGTGTCATAATTTAAACTGTCCTTTCTACCTGAACATTTTAGATGATTTTCTTCAGTCTTTGTCACTTACAGTTCTATGATGAAAAAAGATATCTGTATATGTGCATATTTGCTTTAATACAGATTACACTTTCAAAGTAAAATACTCAGTCAAAGCTTATACATGTTTTAAGCCTTAAATATATTTAATTTTTTTCTTAAAAAATGATTGTACTGAAACTCTAATACATGCTAATGGGAGTTTAAATTTGTACAACCACTTTGGAAAACAGGGAATATCTATTAAGAGTTGAAAAGTATGCTCATCCTGTGTCTAGTAGTTTACTCTTTGAGGTATGTATCCAATATAAAAATGTAAATATGTTCACCAAAAGACAAACAAATGTTGATAATAATGAACAGTAATCAAAACTTACCGTCCAATATGCAGTGTGGCATGGTTTCCCACACTTTTTTCCCACCGCCCCATATCCACCAGTGGTAGAATGGATTAATATATATTTACACAAAGTAATACTCTACAGCAAAGAAGATGAACTATAGCTAAATGTAACAACACGGATGAAGCTAAGAAGCTGGACATGTGCTGGGCGTGGTGGCACACGCCTGTAGTCCCAGCAACATGGGAGGCTAAGAGGAGGATTGTGAGTTCAAGACCAGCCTCAGCAACTTAGTGAGACCCTGTCTCAAAATAAAAAAAATAAACAAATGCTGGGGATGTAGCTCAGTGGTTAAGCACCCCTGGGTTCAATCCCCGATACACACACACACACACACAAACACACGCACACACACAAATGGACACAAGAGAATATGTATTGTATGATTCCATTTAATTAAACATCACCAACAAGCAAAATCAACACATGGTTAAAAAAAATTTAAGTCGGTAAATTGTTTTTCTTTAAGGAAAAAGACAATTTTTTCCTCAAAGGAGCAGGTATGAAGGCATGTGGACTTCTGTCATGCTCTGTCCGCCAGTGCTGGTTCTGGCAGATGGGCCTGTCCCATGGGGGAGACTGTGGGCCTGTGGTTTTAGGCCTTCCTGTGTGTGTGTTGTCCTTCGTGGAGTGTTTAGGATAAGTCAGTGTCCATTCTTTTGATGGTAGAACGTCTTTGAAACTCCTACAGTGTGGCATGGTTTCCCACACTCTTGACTCTGATAGATGGGGAAATCTTTTCAATTGGGTAAATTTAAAAAGAGAGTAATTTGTTGCTAATTTTATTATTAGTGAAACTGAACATTTTTTTGTGTATTAATGTTATGTAGTTTGTTTTTCTTTCTGATTTGTAGGCTTTTAAAATAAACTGTTGTTCTGTTATGTCAAAATAAAAATATTTTAAGTAACAAATTCAAACTACAAAATTATTATGTAATAACTTAAGTTAGGAGGAGTTTCTTCTACAAGTAAATCAGTTTAAAGAGTTGAATCCTCAATTCCATCATTGCCTCATTTCCTAGGAGGGTAAATCTGTGTTAGTAGCTCCAGATTTCTGCTCCTGTGTGGAGTTCATATAGAAGGATGTATTTCAAAGTTTTTTATTCCTTATGTATTAATATTTATTCTCTTTTTCCTGACTAGTCTGTTCTTGGAACATATTTAAACAATGTTTAAATCTCAAACTATTAGTTTATCACTTGCTATTATGTCTGACTAGTAGTTTCTTTTGGTTTCTCTTTACACTTTTTATTTTTCCTAATATGAAGAGGATAGAGAATGTTGACTAGGAAATATTTTATTTGTAGTAAAATTGCACATGAATTTTGTGTGTATTCTGATTTTCTAAGGTAGCTTTTTAAAAAACCAGTGTGTCGCATGCTATTTCCTTTACTTTTTCAATGAGTACCAAATTTCTAAGTGACCTCTTAACTAAAATATTTTGTTATAGTAACTCAACTAGTCTGATGTAGTCTCACTGTTGTGTTTGCCTTTTTATGCTTTTGGTTGGGGGTGCATTCTTGAAATAATATATGTAAGTATGTCTTGGAGTCACTGTATTATGAAGTTCCTCATTGTCGTTCTGAACTGCCCAGTGAAATTTTTTTTTTTTTTAATTTTTCTGTTTTGTTCTAATACTAATACACAGGCGCTCTGCTGTTGCCCGCATTCAGGAGTTCTTCAGGCGGAGAAAAGAAAGGAAAGAAATGGAAGAACTGGATACTTTGAACATTAGAAGGCCTCTAGTAAAGATGGTTTACAAGGGTCATCGCAACTCCAGGACAATGGTACCAAATGCTCCTGGCGTTCTTGGGTGAAATAGCAGTTTCATTATATAAACGTTTTCCCCAAAATGACTGGTCTTCCTACATGGCCAGCATGGTTTCAGTATAACACTGAACCTTCAGTTACCTTTTTATTCAAACATGGTTCTTTTAATCCTCTGACATATTATGGAAGAGCATTATTTTTATAAGAAAATTCTACCCTTCTGAATAAATATTTATTGATCTTTCTTATAACATACACAGGTTGCTATGGCTTTACTTTCTTTTTTGCTCTTTCGTACTTGATGTCTACCAGGAAACCTGCTATAGTTTTTTTTTTTTTTTAAAGCATATATTAGCACCTTTGTTAGATTTGGAAAGAAGAACTTAGATTTGTGACATCCAGGTTGATTACACAATAGAAACAAACTACTTTAATTATGACATTTAGTAATAGAGCCTTTCAGGATTTTGAATAAAACTACTACTTGGAACCATCATGTATTATGACAGAATCTGTCTTAACCTGCTTTCTTTAGGATGTAGGTAGAAATTAACTTTGAGGTGAGAAAATAATAAGCTGGTTGTCTCTGTGGATATCATCAATACTAACAGTTGAATCACTTTTTTAAAGGATTCTCCTTAATAGCAGTAACCAGCTTATGTTTTGTTCACTTTTCTGGTAAAAATTTTAGATGAAAATAATTAGGGAAAGGGATTTTAAAAAGAAGACAAGTATTAAATGCAGCAGTAGCTCCAAGTGCCATCAAAGCTGGCTCCCCTCTTCTGAGTAAGCACCAAACATGGCATAGTAGCAGCTGCAGAAAAGATGTTTTTTTAAAATCCTGATCTGAAGTTCAAAGGTTTTTGTGATGATTCATTCATGTGTCTATCAAAAGATGTCGTTGTATTCCTTCTTGTGTTTGTTTATATTCATTCTAGTATCTCATATTGCTTTTTCTTATTGCTTCATTAATGTACTTAGGTTTATATTTTCCAAGATCTTGAATTGTATAAGCTTCTGATTGCTAATGAAAAAGAATGGTATTTTTTGTTCCTTTAGTTAAATATAATTTCCTTTTTTTTTTTCTTTCTCTTTTTTTTTTTTTTTTTTTGTTACCAGGGAATTTTAAATCCAGGGGTGTGTAACCACTGAGCCACATTCCCAGCCCTTTTTTATATTTTATTTCGAAACAGGGTCTCTCAGTATGTTGCTTAGGGCCTCTCTAAATTGCTGAGGCTGGCTTTGAACTCATGATCATACTATCTTTAACCCCTGAGCCACTGGGATTACAGGCATGCACTACTGCACCTGCTGACAATTTCTTTTTTCTTTGAATCATTTAATTGTCTTATAAAGCGAAAAATGGAACAATTTTGAGAGTTCGACACACATAAATAAATTTCTATTATACTGCCAAAACCCAGAAATCCCATTCATTCATTTAGCAGTCATTAGAAAAGTATCTGCTCCATGCCAAATAGTGTTTCGGGTGCTATAAAAATAGTATCCAACAAAGCCAAGTCTGTTGTCAGGGGCACCTTGCAGACCTTGCCTCTGTCTTATCCCTGCTAATGACTTCATGCTGGAAGACCAAGGCATTCTTCGGGTTTTTAACTTTTTTGTTTTTCCAAGCTAATTTCTTTCTTTCTTTCTTTCTTTCTTTCTTTCTTTTTTTTTAACGTAAGAATAGAATAGATCTTGTTTTGGTATCTTTAATTTGAATTTTATTATAATTCACTTTTTTTAAACCCTTAGATAAAAGAAGCCAACTTCTGGGGCGCTAACTTTGTGATGAGTGGCTCCGACTGTGGCCACATCTTCATCTGGGATCGGCATACAGCCGAGCACTTGATGCTTCTGGAAGCGGATAACCATGTGGTGAACTGCTTGCAGCCACATCCGTTTGACCCCAGTAAGGCGCCATTCCTCAGCACTGTGCTCTCCTGGTTTTGTACAATGCGAGCATCCCCCAGAGTGTCCTGCTGAGTGCCTCTGGAGCTGAGTGTGCTATGCTTGCGTTTCGAACAGTCTGCCGCAGCAGAATGGCTAAGCAAACAGGTTAAGAGTGTCTTTAGTAGCTCTCCTACATTTGATCTCATCAGTCATAGATGTCTGGAAGGACTAAACTTGGCATTATCCAAAGAACCTAGAAGTCTATTTAATCTTCACGTATCTGAATTAATTTACCAGAGCAAAAGAGCATTGGCTTACTCTTATGCTTGACCTTATCATGTGTCTTGCAATACAGCAGCGAATAAGCAGAAATTTAAGGGACTTCAAAATGGTCTTAAAGTTTTATTCAAGGGTTACTTTTCAGAGATCTTCAAAATATATTATCTTATATTCTTAATTAACAGGCAAAGGAACAGGTATGGTATCCCTTCAAGCTGGATTTTGCTGTTTATATATATGCTTCATATGTTCATGTCTTGAATTAATGGCATATTTCTAAGCTTTATACTAATATGTACATTTTATTTCTAGTTCTAGCCTCATCTGGCATAGATTATGACATAAAAATCTGGTCACCACTAGAAGAGTCAAGGATTTTTAACCGAAAACTTGCTGATGAAGTAAGATTTTTATTATACTTATGATAGGCCATATTTAATTGGTTCCTAGCATGCTATTCTAAGGAAAAAGCAGTTTATTAGTAACATAAAACAAGTTAATGCAGTTAATGAGGTAAACTCTTATAAAGAAAAATTAAGATAAAACATGCTTATAAGACTAGAGAGTTAAAACCAAAATGGTGTCTTGTAATTATATTATTGAAATTTAGTACTATCAGATTAGGTATGTCGTGGTTTAAGACAAATAGATTTGGCTGGTGTGCTAATTATGATAAAAATCATTAAGAAATTCTGTCCTTTTAAAAATAATTGTGCACTATAAGCTACCCTCCCTAATCATAGACATTTTCTGTTTTTCTTAAAAAGGAAATGGTCTCCTCTGGAATCAGTTGATAACAGAACAAATGATTAGAGAATCTTTTCCTTAATTACTGTATTTTAAATTTTCCTTAGCTTCTTGTTGAAGCAGAAATTTCCAAACTAAGTTCTGTAAAGCTCTCAGTTTCTTTTGGAATTGGGAGAAAAAGCAGGTGATAGGAAGACTGAACTCCTCCCGAACTTTAATGAGGGTTTTTATTTGTGGGTTTTTGTATGAGATTTCTTAGGAAAATGAGGGTCTGTTCTTAAAAGTGTAAGTTGGAAAGCACTACTTTACCAAGATGGACGGTTCACAGCACAAGCTACCACCTATGCTGATATTCATTGTATAGAGATTTATAAAATACATGGTATTTGTCAGTCATAGTGCTGACTTTAAAAAGATAGAACTTAAAGTCTAGTTGGAAAGGCATATAAACAAATAACTAGATTATAATGGGATCAGTATCAGAGACGTATACATTTTGTTTTGAAGCTGGAACACTGTGCTGGTAAATATGGTAGATGGGAAGGGGAGGTCTCCCCCAGAGATGTTGGGAACTAGACGAGGAGCAGAGGAGCAGAGGAGCTTTGAGCACAAGGCTTCGCACATGCCAAGAGACTGTAAGGTAGATGGACCGTCAGTGTGCATGAACCTCAGAGTATGTAGACAAAGCATCTCAGTTGGATGGAAATGGTAGGCAGGACAGGTCTGTACAGGGCCCACGGGCAACCCTGATGAACGTGGGACGGTTGTTACATCATAGGGGAACTTTTGAGATTACATCTTCTCTGACACTTTCTTTCTTCCTTTTCTTTTCCTACCACATACTCTACTATTCCTCTTCTTCCCTTTGCTCATGATTACACATTCGGTCCGTAGCTATTCATGAATATTATGCATTTGGGTACTATTCTTGCTACTCAGTTTATTGCCAAAGCTTGCCCAAAAGTTTCTTTTTTTACTTTGTCTCAGAATAGCATCTTCTCAAGGGATACACGTACATGACTAGGGATAACAGTTTAACACGTTGTGTTGAATGAGAAATCAGCACAAAGACTGATCTGGACACGAGCCAGCACTGAAGAGCTCATTTGAACTCTGAACATTCTAAGCAGTCACAACATTTCCTCTTAGTCTTTCTGCTAGTTAAAAGAGTGTTCTCTGATCTTCCTCCTTTAAATACAAGGTGAACTAATTATTTGCTGTTGAGTAGCTGAAAGGCAAATGAAATCATTCCTGCTGGGATCTACTAATTTCTTAGAATTTCCTTCATCTTCTGGGAGCAGATAGCCACTCTGTCAACATGGTTGCTTACCTTGCCTGTAGGTCATAACCCGCAACGAGCTGATGCTGGAAGAAACCAGAAACACCATCACCGTCCCAGCCTCTTTCATGCTGAGGATGTTAGCCTCTCTGAATCACATCCGAGCTGGTAAGAGTTTACTATTCTATTAATATTGTTATATTTGTACAACATCTTATTAAAAGTTCTACTTCAAAGGGATTTATATAATTTCCTTAATATCACAAAATGAAAGCAACTTAACTAGGATTTCTATGAACACTTGACCTTTTAGCAGTGATTTATATTGAAAAATGGTCAAAATGAAACTTTTTTTTTTTTTTTTAAACAGGGAGAGAGAGAGAGGGAATTTTAATATTTATTTTTTTTTTTTAGTTTTCGGCAGACACAACATCTTTGTTTGTATGTGGTGCTGAGGATCGAACCTGGGCCGCATGCATGCCCGGCGAGTGCGCTACTGCTTGAGCCACATACCCAGCCCCAAAATGAAACTTTTATCAGCTCCTTTTTTTTTTTCTCCTCAGAGTACAGACTGTACCATAAACCTTAAAATGTTAAAATAGTATATATATATATTTTTTTTTTCTTTTTTTTTTTTTTTTTTTTCTTTTTGTACCAGGGATTGAACCCAGGGGCACTTAGCCATTGTGCTACATCTTCAGCCCTTTTTATTTTTTATCTTGAGACAGGTTCTCAGTAAGTTACTTAAGGCCTAAGTTGCTGAGACTGGCTTTGAAATTGAAATCCTCTTGCCTCAGCCTCCCTAGCCAGTGGGGTTATAGGCGTGCACCACTGTGACCAGAAATATGTATACTTTAATAGATTTATTTAAAAACAGCCCAGATAAAAGCATTGTAATACGCTAAGATTTAACAGATAGTTTAGTGTTTTTTTCAATTTTTTTGTTTTATATTATAAACTGAGATTCAGAGCCACAGATAAACCAAAAATCCATATAATACAGCTAAGATTTAAGAGGAAATTGAAGAATCTGTATTCACAACAACAGAAAAAGTTCAGTATTCATTATAAACAGTATTTATCTCTTTTCACTGGTTTCATGATTTCTTCATATTAGATATGACTGATTGTTTAGTAATAATAGCTACCATTTATAGAGTACATATATGTTAAGTATTATGTAATCATTTCAGAGATTTATCCTCTTTCAGCCCCAACCCTTTACAAAGTACGCTATTTTTAATACTTGCACCAGATCACACATCTAATAAATGTCAAAAGCCTGAATTTGAAACCAGCTTCCAAGCCCTTACTTCATTGACCCATTCATTTCTTCCCTGTGACGTATTCAGGTCGCTAAGGCATGCAGTCCTCTGGTGATCTGATCCCAGGCCACATTTCTTCCTTTGCTTACTGTAATCCTTCAGAAGACTTCCTGGGAGGTCCAAGGAATTAAACAGTAGCTCCATCCTGCTACAGCTGTGATTTTTAAAAAATTTATTTTCCACATTTTTTCATTGGTGCATTATAGTTGTGCATACTGATGGGATTTGTTTTTACATATTCATGCATCTACACAATATGACAATATAATTTGGTCAGTATCATTCCCCAGCACTCCCACACAGCTGTGATTTTTTTAATGAAGGATCCTCATCAGATCACCTCTGGGGCTTTTTAAAACTATAAATAATCAAATAATGTGATTCTATCCCCTAAAGATTCTGATTCATGTTATCTGAGTAGGGTGTGATCTTCTGTATTTTAAAGAGACAAACAAAATTATTCTCATGAATAATAGTTGACTAAAAATTTCTAGGATACTTCCTTTTGTGTGTGTGTGTGTGCTGGGGATTGAAAGTAGTGGCATTTTATCACTGAGCTACATCCCCAGCACCCCCCCCCCCTTTTTTTTTTTTGGTGGTACCAGGGTTTGAACTGGGGGGCATTCGACCACTGAGCCACATCGCCGGCCCTATTTTGTATTTTATTCAGAAACAGGGTCTCACTGAGTTGCTTAGCACCTCACTTTTGCTGAGGCTGGCTTTGAACTTGCAGTCCTCCTGTCTCAGCCTCCCAAGCTGCTGGGGATTACAAGTATGAGCCACTGCGCCCAGCTCATTTTTAATTTTGAGACATGGTCTTGTTAAGTTTCTGGGGCTGTCCTTAAACTGACACACTCCTATTTCAGCCTTCCAAATTGCTAGGATCATGTATGCCACCACATCTGGCTTCTAGGCCACTTCTTGAAATGTAAGGCAGTTCCAACATCCTCTAAGAGCTTTGAGAAGCTTTGGAAAAAGGTAATGGTGTGTATGGACCATTCTAAGCTCTTAGAATATTTTAGAATCCAGACTGGTTTCTCCCCTGCTTAAAATTCTTCTTTACCTCTCCATGTTTTTAAGATTGAGTCTAAATATATTAACGTAAAATTTTACATTAGCTCTTGATATTTCTCCTTTATACCTGTGGACCTTGGAGATCTCAATAGCCATTGTTTGTGTGGTGGGTTTTCAGTACCTATCATCAAATAGAACTCATAGTTATTTGACAGATCGCTCCATCAGCAAATGATGTCTACTCTCCTCCAAAAGATACCTGCCTTTGCAACCATTCACCTACCTGTGGTCTCGTTTTTACTGTTGCCCTCATACAATAAGATTTTCACCCAGCAACCAAGTAGGTCAAAGAACTCTTTCTTTTTTCTTTTATGGTACTAGCAGTAATGTCAGAGGCAATAACCTGCTGTCAGGCAGCATCAGCCATCTCAAAGTCTGTGGGCTGCTTCATCAAGTTTCTTCAGTTGCCACACAACAGATGAAGATGGGGAAACAGGGTAAAGAGGAAATGCTACTGCTTTCAAGTCAGGGAATCCGCAGTAAAGGGTTAGGCCAAAGCATGCCCCCAAGGAGACAGGCGAGGGCCAAGAGCTTTACACAATTGCGGTGGTTTTCAAATATATCAAGATCTGTACAAGTTTTGTTTTTTTTTTTTGTTTTTGTTTTTTTTTAATATTTGTGTTTTGTATATGTAAAACTTATGCTTTCTTGTGAATGTCCACGCTGGGTGCCATGGCACATGCCTGTAATCCCAGCGACTTCAGAGGCTGAAGCAGGAGGATCCCAAGTTTGAGGCCAGCCTCAGCAGCTTAAGGAGAACCCTGTCTCAGTATAAAAAGTAACAAGGGATGTGGATGTAGTTCAGGGTTAGAACACCCCTGGGTTTAATCTCCAGTACCCAAAAAAAAAAAAAAAAAAGTATCCTAGTCTCATGGTGCCGTATCTTTGTTTACCTTCAGAGGCAAAATTAAAAACTTACCTACATACAGTTGTGAACTGGTTTTACATATGTTTTCTGAATTATGTAGAAAAATATTTGTAGTTTTAATATTAAAAGCATTTCTTTTTTTTTTTTTTAATCTTAGTTGGGAAACTTTTTTTTTAACTTTATTATTTATTTTTATGTGGTGCTGAGGATCAAACCCAGGGCCTTGCACGTGCCAGACGAGCGCTCTACCACTGAGCCATAACCCCAGCCCCTTAAAAGCATTTCTTTATGTGATTGTCTTGTCCGTTTTTTTCCAGACCGGTCGGAGGGTGACAGATCAGAAGGCTCTGGTCAGGAGAATGAAAATGAAGATGAGGAGTAACCACCTCTATTTGGCAAGCACTTGGATGTTCTGGAATTTGTATAAGACATTCATTATATTTTTTTCTTTACAGAACTTTAGTGCAATTTTAAGGTTATGGTTTTTGGAGTTTTCCGCCTTGGGGGGATGACCTAACATTAGTTTGGAGTGAGTGTGTGCATGAATTTGGGAGAGTGCGTAAAACAAAACACAAAATGTTTTTACAGCTTTCTGCCGTGTGTGAGGAGTGCTGGAAGACAAGGTGCAATACGCTCCCTGATCTGCAGGGGGCTCAGGACAGTGCCGAGGGTCCTTTTCATTGTAGGGAGAATGCGGGTCAAATAAATTTCTACACTTGCCGTTTGCATGTTTGTCGCTTTGTAATTAAAGAAGTTGGTTGTTTTAAGACATCCTAAAATGGAGTTTTTATTGAATGCCTTGCTGTTACCTGCCTTTTCTAATCTTTCTGTAATGAAAAAGGACTTTCTCTATTCTTTTTAAATTTAATAACATTTTCCTTTTTTACTTCAGTGGGATGATAAAATCACACTAAAGGCTTTTCACTTCTCTTTTCAAAGCCCTTGGTCTTTGCCTGTGGGTCGTCCTCCCATGATCAGTGGTGCCTGGTGCACTCAGTCACTGAAGCAACATGGGTACAAGCTGCTTCTGAAGGTGCTGGTTTCTGGTTTTTTACCTCTGTTTCCAAATTCCAGATTTCACTGTAAGCTGTTGACCATCCAGAGTTTTTGTTTTGTTTTGTTTTGAGGGGAAGGATGGTACTGGGGGTAAAAGCCAGGAGAACTTTATCACTAAGCTATATCCCCAGAACTTTCTATTTTTTTATTTTAAGATAGGGTTTTGCTAAGCCTGCCTCAGACTTGCAGTGTTCCTGCCTCAGCCTCCAAGTCATTGGGATTACAGGTGTGCGCCACTGCACCCAGTGTCCCCTTCCCCTCTAGCAGGACTGACATAGTTTACACCTAGGCCTTTGTACCTTAGAGGTTATGCCCCAAAACTGTTGCTGTAGGCTTAACCCTGCAGGCATCCTCCCTCCCCATTTCTAAATTTATTCTATTGGTCTTTCCCTCAGTCTAATTGTATGCTCACATCTCCTCAATCCTTTTACAAAATAAGGAAAATCGTTTCTTAATACCAAACTATTCTCTCTTTATATACTTTCTAATTTCTCTACTCTGGTTATTATCTAAATGAGCACAGCATATATATCTATGACTTTTTTGTGCTGCTTTCCTGATGTCTAAAGCCTCTCAGAAGCTGGACTTGCTAGGTGGGGAGAGGGGCGTCAATCTGTTGTGTCCTTGGGGGCAGAAAATCAAGTACGGTAGAGTGGTTTGTCCACTATTCACTGGTTCAACAGGATAATTTCAAAACCAGTATCTCTGTCTGTCTGTCTCTCTCTCTCTCTCTCTCTCTCTCACACACACACACACACATACACACACACACACACACAGCATTGCTGTTACAGATTTCTGCGATAACATGTTGATTCTTCTTTTCTAAGAAGATGATAACTTGAAACTACAGCCTGAGCTCTTGGAACTATCTCCCTGTAGAGGAGAGCAGCAAACCCACAGCCTCTCTGTGACGATTCCCACTAGCAGCTGTTCCTTACCAGCCAACAGTTGGAGAAGAAATAAAATTACACGCTTGGATTACTGTTGCTCACCTGGAACTAGCCACCCAGTGCTGCCAAAATTATAGCCGTGACATGGGAAAGAAATATGGAGTTGTCAGGGTCAGAGCTGTAGATTCACGGACCTCATCCATCACTGCCAGCACCAGCCTTGACCTCTTGCTCTTGACTCTACTCTGGAGGTGGAAACCAGACCCTCGATGGCTGCATACATCTCGGGGCTGGGGATGTGGCTCAAGCAGTAGCGCGCTCGCCTGGCATGTGTGCGGCCAGGGTTCGATCCTCAGCACCACATACAAACAAAGATATTGTGTCCACTGAAAACTGAAAAATAAATATTAAAAAATTTCTCTCTCTCTCTCTCTGGCGCGCGCATGTGCTCTCTCTTAAAAAAAAAGTAATACTTCCATTTAATTAGCGGTAGTTTAAATATACCTTTTATTTTCAGAAATCTAAATATCCTGGGAAAAAAGGGACCGAGACATAACCTGTCTTCAGCTGGGCCATGAACAGCTTCACTATATGGCCAAGGAGAGCCTCTCTCCTGCATGGAGCATCAGAGACCTCTCCTCCCCCTAAGTGGCACAAGCTGAGAGCCGCCACCTGCCAAAAGGAGATGGTTAGCTTTGTGAAGCAAGGGAAATGGCTTCACCATCTGGCACTTGGTGGACAAAGCCACAGAGGTGTGTCTGTGTTGTTCAGCATGGCGAAGGGTCAGAGCCTTAGCAAACAGGTTAATGACGCCACGATTCCTGGAGGGTGCCATGGTTTTGGTTTCTGGTTCTCAGCTACTTCTGTGCCCTGTTTTCTTTGGGTTTTTGGTTCCTCTTCTCTGAAGCAGGGGTGATTATACACCCTCCATCCCATGTCACAGGGGATGTTTTAGGAACACAGCACACAGAAGATGTCACTTCTTTCACTGATAAAGCAGTAACATGGATATGCTGTAGAGGGTGTAGGGAAATCAAGAGGACAGAGGCTACTGGAGGACTCAGGAGGGTCGGGGAGCAGGAAAGGTAACAGAAGAAGGTCAAGTGGCTTTTCTCCACCTGCACAGGCGCTGATGGGGAGGCTGTGGCTGGGGGAGGGCAGGAGGTACAGGACTGCTTTGCACAGTTCTCCTGTGAACCTGAAACTGCTCTGAAAATTTTTTTTTAACTTGTCAGAGGAATTAGGACCTCTGTCCATAGGGAAACGACAGACGCTCTGTGACTCAGGATCGGGGCAAGACATGTAGTGAGGCAGCAGTGAGAGGAAGCGTTCCATAGAGGCAAAGGGAGCAGGTGCCAGCCACATCAAGATTCAGGGCCCAGGGAGCAAGGCTGGGCCCCAAGGAGCGAGGCTGGACCCTGGGGCTCCCTCAGGAAACAGAAGGTGGCTTCAGTGGTGACAGGTAGGGTCAGGCAAAAGTGGTGGGTTTTGTTGCTACATCTCAATGATATGATCTGCCTCTCACCCTCTTTGACTTTGCTTATGGGACAGAGAATACATATCTTGATTGATGGATAAATAATAAACCACTGATGTTCATTAAATCTCCTTTTAAAACTTTGGGCTTAAGAGTGTTTTTTGTGGCATGCTGAGAATTATTCATTTAATGATATTCCATGAATGTAATTGCCATGGGGAGTTATGAAAATGCATGAATGGATATACCTGTTGAGTCTGCCCCGGAGTCCTCTCCCTCGGGGGAGGCTCGAGATAGGAACAGGACTGCAAAAACAGGGAGGGGAGAGGCACCCAGAATCATCCACAGGCCCAAGTCCCAGTACAGAGTCACAATTTCTGCCACTATACATGTACCCGAAACACATTTAATCAGACAAACCTATTCTAAATAACATTTATAAATATTGATTATAATCCTAAACATTTTTCTTCAAAAAAAAATCCCAAAAATTCAAGTTAAATATATTTCAGGATTGGGGTTTTTGTTTGTAGTGCAGTTTTTAACACCCAGTGCATTCAGGTGTCCATTGTCAGAACACAGCGCAGGACTGTCCCTTGGGCATGTGCACGACACTGATGGACAGGCACAGCCTGCGCTGCGCTCGGTGCGTCTTGACTGCCAGGAGTTGGGGTGATTGGCATTGGTTCACGGCATCTCAGAATGGTGGTGTGGAGGAAAGGAGGAGTGTACCCATTCCTAAGCTATTGATACTGCTCAGGAAATGCCTCTGAAGGAAATGAACACAGCTATGTGGATTATATCCTTATAAAAGGAACACTGGCCAAAACTGTGTTCCTGGTAATCTTGTGCAGATTTGGGTTTGTGCTTTGAATTCTTCTCAACAAATTTAATTGCTTTCCTTGTGTCTTCAGTTTTTGAGGTCAGGCTGCAGATATTAACACCTCCCATGCCCTTTGGTTGATGGTAGTTCTTTCTGCCTACCTTACAAAGCCTCTGACCTGTTCTGATAACAGTGACTGTTTTTTGTTTTGGTACCAGGGATTGAACCCAGGGGTGCTTAACCACTGAGCAACATCCCCAGTCCTTTTGAAAGGGTGGCCCTCCTCCCTCAGCCTCCCTAGCCACTGGGATTGCAGGCGGCTATCACTGCACCCATCCTCTGGGCTACAAAGAGAAGACTCCCTCTCTTTGTGGAGAAGACCTGGAGTTTGGCCCTGCTTCTGGCTTAACTCTTGTGAGACCTCAGGCAGTTTTCTTGGGCCTTCCTGGATTGTTTGTCTTCTCTCTGACCATAAGGATGGCGCTGGTCTGCCCTTCCCATCCTCATTTATGGCTAGTCATGGCCATTTTTCCAAGCATCAGGCTGAGACTGACTTCCTCTCTCTTCCCTGTGGGTTCTGTGTTCACTGCAGATAGTGCATGGACGGACGCCTGTCTCTGCCTCCTCCCTCAGAGGCCTGGAGCTCTGGGTGCTGTGACCAAAGAGCCACAATCCATCAAGCACTGTCACTGCTGGGGAGAGCTGTCCTCACCTCCTGAGGAGCACTTCCCAGAGAGGATGCCCCTGCTCTGTATGAATTACGATCATGATTTGGGACTCATCCTCTCTCATGATCATTCGGGGCGATACAGAAGCACGTTGTCTTTGCAAAGAGCCATTCGCATGGGGGAAGGGCGTTTCTAGTAGAGGCTCCTGCTCCCTCAGACTCCTTGGCTCCTGGTGCTACTCAGCGCTCCCTCCCTACCTCCCTGTTGCCGTCCCCTTCCTCACAGTCCTTTTGTGCTGTTCAGCAAATGACAGCTGTCAGCACCTCCATTCTAGGATAAAGTTATCTTTTCAACAACTTCTCACTTTTTTGCCACGGAGACCCCTGTAAAAGGAACGATCCAACCTGCTCGGGGCAGCTCCTGAGGAGAAAAGCCACTGGCCCTGCTCTCTGGCAGCCTAGGCCCTCCCTGGGTGCTTTGCCCACGTTCCTGTCATCCCTGTGAGGGACTCCTCCCTAAACTCTTGTGTCTCACACAGAAACAGATTCCAGAACTTTGCACAAGAAACCAAGCAGCTTGCCCAGAAGACCCAGCCACGAGGCGGCAGCCTGAGCACACCACAGAACCCCAGCATCCGGCTTCTCAGGCAGGCTGTCAGAGCGCACAGCCCTCAGTACCTCCCTCGTCGGTGCACTGTTGCTCCCTCTCCTGTTGGCCTTTTGCAAATATTGAATTAGTGTCAATGGTGGTTTGATTCTTTGCAGAAAGACCCCAAGCAGCTCTGCAAATGAGAATCAAGGAACCTGAGCATTAGGTGGTCCTGTCTTGACTCTCCACCCACTGCTCCAGGAGCTGTGATTAGCTTAGGGTCACACAGCTGAGCAGAGGTGGTAACTAAATGAATGGGAACAGTGGGCGGGGAGGATCAAAGCAGGGTGGCCCTCAGCCACAGTCCCCTCCTTCTCAGCCATGCTGCTGCCACCTAGCGTCTCAGGACCCGAGCTCTTCTTCGTGTGGCCAGGGAAAGGGCCAGGTGCTGAGCTGGGTTCCTCCGCGTGGGACCCTGTGCCTCCTGGGCCACAGCAGCCCCCACCGCTGGCATCCAGAGCAGCACAGGGCGGAGCCAGGTGTAAATCTCAGTGAAACAAGCAAAGACTTGCAAAAGCCCCACAAGTTTTCCCCTTTCAACAAAGCCAGAAGATGTGGGTCTGGATTTTTATTTTTGTTGTGTTATGTTTTTTCGTGGTCCTGAGGATTGAACCCAGGACTCTCATGCATGGTAGACAAGCACTCTACCCTTGAGCTACACCCCTGCCAGGACTGAGGTTTTTAAATAAAAGTGGCCAGATGTCCCACCTGCACTGTCCGTGGGTTCACCACGTATGAGTGTGGGTTTAGCTGGGGGTTCTGAGCTGCAAAAGCAGTGTTCTCCAAAATGCTTGGGGACTGTAGAATGTTCTTGCCCCCTGGTGCCCGCACACACATCCCTCTAGGTCAACCGAGCAAATCTGAATTTCTGAATACTGCAGAATATGGTTCTAGTTACCAGACATCCTTCAAGACAGCTGCACTGTCACCAATTTGGGGGGTCTTCATAACTCCTGGTTGGAAATACCCACCTCTGTTTCTAGAATCAGTACTTGACTTGTATTAGAATCACATCTCCCAGGTATTTCTCCCAAAATTAGGGAGAAGATACTCTAGTGTTCTTGCCCCTAGCACCTAGCTTGGTGCTTCACAAACAGCAGGTGTGCAGTGTCCAGTAGAAGAGTAAAATGAATGGACCTCGCTCAGTAAGGAAGGCGAATCCTTTTGTGAGATGCAGTTATTCTAGGATAATTCAGACTAAATCCTACTGTATCCCAGCTGGTCTGTGGTCAGCAATGGGGGCTTGGAGTCTGCATTCTTTCCCTAGAGCAGCATAATCAGGGGAGCTTTCTTCAGCCCTTGGGTCCCAAGCCAGTTTACTGCACTCAAAAATCCCTAAACAGGAACTCATTCCAGAGGTAAGGTTCTGCCCTGTTCTGTCTCTGTGCATACTAATCAGGAATATGGTCCCTTCTGAAACAGGACAGGATACACACAGATATACATAGAAAACGGACACCACCTGGCAGCGGGAGCGTGGGCTGCCTGTGGGCCAGCAGTGGAAGCCTGTGCACCTGCCTTGTTGAGGTCAGGCACTATGAGGTGGCTGCCCTAGGCCTCATAGAAGGTCTTCTGTGAGCTGCAGGGCAGGGACCAGCCAGCCACTGGTATCTGCCACACGGCAAAGGCTGCCTCTCCAGAGGATGGTGAGACTCCCAAGGGGCACACTTCGGAAGTCATCCACAGCAAGTTCTGGAAGTACCCCTGCTGACCAGGGCAAGGGAGAGTCCTGAACTTGGCTTAGGTGATCACCAGGCTGAAGGGCAGCACAGGAGGGGTTCACCACAGCAACTACAAGCCCACACTCCAAGGGCTGTTGCAAATCAACAGGAAGAGAGGAACCTGGCCATAGAGACACCTCACCACTGTGCCTCCACCTCTGGGGCCACACCCTCCTCCTCCCTCACTCTTGGTGCTGGGCACTCCATCAGGGCTGTGCTCCAAACAGCAAGCCACACAGGCCATGGCCAGGGCGGACTGGCAGTGCTTCACACCCATCAGGAGCTACACCCAGGTGTTCCAGTTCTGGTCTTGTGCTCCACTTCCGAAGGTTTTTTCCCTGTATCTAATTTATCAATTCAGCGATATCATAGAAGAGCAGAAGCTAGAAATGATCTCGGAGACCACAGGTCAACTCCCCACTCCCCTTTCCCATTTTACAAAGGATGTCGAGAGGCGACAGGGTGTCCCATGATGTGGGGACCGAGGCAGAGCCGGGCCCAGGACTCGAATTGCTTAGTCCAGGTCCAGTGCCTTCTATCCTGTGCTGCCCCCGGGCCACAGTAACAGGAACTTGCTCCCAGGAGTAGCAGTGTGGCCCCAAGGCCAGCCCTTCTCACAGGGCACTTAGACAGGACCAGCAGAAACTGCCCTCCTACTAACAGTGTCCGCTTCTTGACTTGGCTTGGTGCCACAACCCTAGTCAGTCTTGGTGACGCACTGACCTGTCCTCACCAGATGTGTTTGTTGTTAAATTCTGGAAGTGGAACACTTGGCACCTGCCTTTTCTGTCTTATTTATAGTGGTTTCTCCCTTCTTTTGAAATACCAAAGAATCTGCCAGTGGGGAGGGGGAGGGTGTCCTGGCAGCCTGTGGGCCAGGTCCTAACCAGATCCCTGCTCCTGGATGCTCCCCGTGGACTATTGGGTACCTGTGGCTGCCCCGTGATGCCTGCCTGGAGCCCACAGCGCCCAGGGCAAGCTGCAGGTGAGGGAGTGCCTTGCTGCGCTCAGCCACACTGGGCCGCCTCTGCCCAAGGCGTCGGGGACAGTGTGCGGCTGGACTCCTGGTACAGGTTGTGAAGAAGAGAAAAGGGTCCGTGCAGTGGTCTCCTCCAAGTCCCTGCTCCTCCTGCGGGCCACACCTCCATCCGCCCTGGGTGCTTCAGATGCCTCTGGTTCTGTCACTGGGACCTAGAAGCAGCCGACACGCATCTCACAGCAGATACTGAAGTCACAGACCGGTGCCATCGTTTTCAGTCCCTCCGCGGCTGCACACCAGGTGCTTCCTTCCCTGAGCGTGATGACATGTCCCAGGCCCTGGCACAGATGGCCGGGGACTCCGTGAAGGCCAGCACCCCTGGCTCCATCCAGCCCAGCCCTTCCTGGGGCCCTCATCTCTCTTCTGCAGCTAAAATGTTCCCCTCTTCAATGCTCTGCAGCTGCAGCCGCTGACTCGCAAGAGCCCTGCTGCCTCGGCGACCCCCGGGACCAGCCCCTGGGACAGTTCGTGCTGAAAATAAGACACCCGGCAAAGCCTCCTCCCCAAATAAGTTGATTTTGGCCTCAGCCTCAATGGCTCTAGCCAAGCTGGCTGCATAGCTGTCCAAGGACTTGTGTACTTCGGCTTTCACATGGAGGACAGAGTTCCGGGCAGCTTCTGGGGAGAGGGCAGAGAGAAGTTAGCAGAGGGCCAGGACCAATGGCTGCGCTGCAGAGGCGGCCGCAGCTGCCCTGCCCTGGGAGGGGAGGCACACTGCGGTGGCAGACGCCAGACTCCCCAGCTACAATCCTGGACTCCCAACCTGCTACCCAGAAACTCTCGGAAGTTACTGAGTCTGGCCTTGGTTCCTCATCTGCACAGAGGAGGGCGCTTACTTCCTAGGGTCTCTGCAGTACAAGTGAGTTCCTTTCGAGGTGCTCAGCCGTCTGGGAAGAGTTCTCTGCTCTTCCGGATCCCCAGCTTCGGGTACCATCCGTGGCTGCAACCACCACAGACCCAGATGCCAGCTCTCTCCTCTCCACATTGCTAGAGCTTCCTAAGTCATGGGACCTCAGGGTGGAGAGATGTTAAGGAACCCTACCAGGATCGGGACCGCTGGCGACCGACACGAAGAGGACAGGGAGGCCGCTCCTCACGTCACACCCTGGCCCTACATCACAGACGCACTGCCTTTCTCATTTCCTAAGGAGCAGCAACCTACTCACCCCCTGCCTTTTGGGTCAGCACTGGATCACACTCAGGGGCTCCACCACTGAGCCACATCCACTAATCTTTCTTTTGAGACAAGGTCTCAAGTGCTCATTGAGTTGCTGAGCTGGCCTTGAACTTCCCATTCTCCTGCCTCAGCCTAAGTCAGCCTCCTGAGTGGCGGGGACTCCAGGCGTGGGCCATATGCCCAGCTTACATGCCACTCTCCAGGAGGGCAGACAGGAGAGGACTGGCCTCCCTGCTCTGCCTCTCACGGGGCAGGGGTGGCACCCTGCCAGTGCCTTCTCTTTCAGGCCTACAAAAAGGTGCTTTCAGGGCTGCCCTCCCAGGACGCAGGTGTGAAGGGACAGGTGGCCCTGTGTGGGATAGTCATTTCTGTAAAAATAATAATTATGAAGCCTGGGGGGCTGCTGGTCCACGCTCCATTCTCGACTCTGTCTGTGAAGTGGATGACTCGGTCTCTTCCCCCTGCCGTGCATCACCACCTCTGTGTTCACTCTGAATTCAGCAGGACATTAATTTTGTAGAGAGAAAGTAGAAGAAATGAATGATGGCTACAGACTCTGCTGGGCCTGTCCTCATGTTTGCATTCACCATTCTGGAGACTTAAAACCCTGGCCCTCCACCACATCCACCTCCCAGCCACGCGGCTGCTGCCTGCCCTTGGGTTCAGGGAACAGAGTCTGAAATCTGTGGGCAGCTGGGTGGCTCTGTTGTGGTCCCTGGACTCGGCAGGCTGCACCCCGAGGCCCAGAGCAGCAGGGGCAGGGTGCTCAGAACAGGTGGAGCGGGAGATGGAGGGAGGGGCTGCAGCGCCCACCTCAGCTTAGGGGCAGCTGTGGCTTCTACTCGCTGGCCAACTGGAAGGAGCTGTGGCTCAGAGGCCAGGTCCACGTTCCTAATCGCACATCGCCCACGAGGAAGGAGAGGGAACCAGGGCCTGGGCGGTGTGCGGGCAGCTGGGCAGCTGCTTTCCCCGGCTTAGATGCCGCTTGCTCTGAGCTAGGAGCCTGCGGACTCCAGTGAGAGCAGCAGGGCTGGGAGTCGGGGGGGGGGGTGTCTGGGGCAGGCAGGGCTCGGCCAAGCCGTCTCCCCCAGATCCTCCTTTCCCCCGCTGTTTTCTTGAAGCAATCCGTCACAGAGACCCACCTTTGATTTGCTCCACTTCATCCTCAAATGTCACCGAGCTCCTCCTCTTGGGCGGGCAGGTGCAGTGGGCGGGCGGGGTGTCCTCAGACGCACAGTCTTCCAGCAGCATCACGTCTGTCCCTGAGGCGGAGGGTGGACTGTGCAGTCTGATAGCAACGCCAGGTCCCCTCCCTCCCAACACCCCTCGGCCCTCTCCCTTCCTTCAAACCCTGGCCAGGGGCAGCTAACTGCCCTGCAGCACCTCCCCGAACCGCCCCAGCCGTCACTACACTCTGGGGTCCGCACACAGCAGGGAGCGGCCTCCATACACAGAAGCCGCCCGGTATCCCCCCTGGGCAGTGGGCTATGAGCCACCCGCACGGGTGCTGCCAGACTAGGAGGGGCAGGCGGGCAGGGCTGGGGGAGAGGGTCTTCTGGGTGACCCCTTCAGTGCCATGTGCCCACGGAGACCTGGGAGCTTGAAGTTCTTAGGGAATCAAAACGAAAAACAAAGGATTTTTTGGAGCGGCCAGTGGAACACCCCTGCCCAGGCCACTGCTTGAGCTGGGCACTGCCGCCTTCACGCCCCAGCAGGACGGGTGACAGGTGTGGCCAGTGCCCTGCTTCTTCAGCAGCGTGGAGCCATGAATTGGCCCCGTGGAGACCCTGGCAGCCTCGGGGGGGTGGGGTGCTCACCCAGGCCCACAGTCCCAGAACGGGCTCACGGTGCGGGCCCAGTGGGCAGGGAGGGGCTCAGCGAGACTGGGTGGGCTTGGGAGGTGCTTCTCCCAGGCAGCAGGCGTGGTGGACCACAATGACAAGGCCACAGCTCGCCGGGGGCTTCCTCTATGCCAGGGACAGACGCCCTCTGATACAGGGGCTTCTGCCCCCCTTTGCCAAGTGGGGGCCCTCGGGTGCATGAGACGAAGCAGCTTGCCCAGGGCCAGCGGGAGACAAGGCCAGCAGGTGGACTCCAGGACCTCGGGTCAGAGGTTATTATAATTAGAATAACAAATTACTTTTGAATCAACTTCTCAGACACTTTCGACCACAGAGCCACCCCGTGCAGGAGAGCGGCCCAGAGCTGCCTTCTCACAGGGCAGCAGGGCACAGCGGCAGAAGGCCCAGCCGGCAAGCTTACCCGAGTCCCGGGAGCAGCTGAAGCCAGTGTCGCCCGTGCTGCTGCTGTGTCCCAGGGGCTGGCCTCCTGCCATGAGTGCCGTGAGGTGTGGGGACAGGCCCAGGTCTGAAAAGCAACATGGGTGTGTGACACGGTGACCAGGGGCTGACCCCCACTCCCCTCTGCCCGGCCTCCCTGGCAAAACTCACTCTGTGCCCTGGAGGAGACCTCTGCTGCCCTCCGTCCCCCTGCCCATCCCACTGGGGCAGGCCTCGGGTCTCCACGGGGAGCCCGGGCAGTGAGGCGGGTGGGGGCACCTGAGGTAGCAGTCAGCCTGGAGGCCAGACCCCGGGTCCCCCTCCCGAAATCCTGCTCAAATACAAAGGAGGAGAGGATGCTGGGAGCTGGAAACACGCATAAGGATGGGACTCGGCCAGGGAAGGGGACCGAGGCCGGCAGGGCAGGGCCAGCAGGCGTGGGCACCGGAGGCCAGGTGCTGCTGCAGGCAGGCCAAGCTGGGCCCTCGGCCTCTCGGCCCTCAGCCTCGCTGCCCGACCCCCAGGGCTGGCAGAGGTGGGAGACGTGGGCACGCACGGCGAGGGTGGGCTGACACGGGGGACGCCGGGAGTGAGAAGTCACACTCGGCAGCCCCGGCCTCGTCCCACTGGACCTGCCAGGAGGGCGGACCGAGAACCCCTCCCCGGGAGAAGCTAGAAGCCCTGGAGATGGAGAGCAAGAGCTGCCCATCACCTGCCCAGAAGGACCAGGGCCAGGCCGAAGAGCCTGCGGGGCGGGCCTGCATGGCTTCCCAGCCGCCTGCCCAGGCTGCGGTGCTGGACGTTAAGGGTCTGGCAAGTACCAGCAGCAGCTGGGAAAGGCACCAGCAGGAAGATGGGGGACGGGGGGCCTGGGGAGACTGTGCAAAGAGCTTAAGGAAAAAGCCACCATGGGGACCCCATTGAGCGAAAATAAAGAATCCCTAAGACCCGAGGCCGGAGCTCCCGGAAAAGGACCACAGGCCCCAAAAGCTCTGAGAAATTAAAACAGAAGACAAACGCAAAACTCCTGAGATGCCCCAGGAAGACCTGCCCAGCAGATGTGACGACTGCGTGGCTGGCATGGGTCCCCAAAGCTCGGGTTGGAAACGTCATCCCCAGGGCAGCCGCGTTGGGAGGTGGGGCCTGATGAATGGGTCAACCTCATTATTCTAGAGGCTGGTGCGTGACCTCGAGAGTGGGCGTGGTGTCAAAGTGAGTCTGGCCTCAACTTGCTCTTGCTGTTCCATCTCCCGCCGCGATATGACATGGCACAGAGACCCTTGCCCAATGACACCATGCTCCTGGGCTTCCCAGACTCCAGAATCATCCTTGTCCATTATAAACTATCTGACCTCAGGTGTTTTGTCACAGCAGCAGAAAATGGTCTAAGACAATGATCTACCTTAAAGACGCTCTTGTATTCTACCATACACTCCCAGTAGAAGACCTCAATCTTTGATTTCTTCCTCGTGCTTCTGAGGGTACAAAGTGACAGAATGTACTATTTCCTTTCTTCCCTGGAGCCAGGGAGGAAATGGTGGTGGCAAAGGAATGGCAGTCCCAGCAAGCTTCCCTCAGAACTTTGTTTTCATCACCTCTGGGAACCCCACAAGAAGATGCACCTTTGCTTTCCCCACTGTTGGGTGTTGGTTACAGGCTGGGGCCAGAGGACACCCAGCACCTCCCTGCACCTGGCCACTCCCCCAGGTCTGGGTGCAGATCATGGCTGTGTTCAACAGGAGGCCTGGTGTGGAGAGCAGCACCGCAGGGCCCCTGCCAGCTGTGGGGGTGGACGCCACATGGGTTTGGACACCATCTCTGAGGCCGTGGCAAATGCCTGGAACATGTCTCAGCGTCCACCAGTGGGAGGACCGTCTGTGCCAGACCACTGTGGCTGGGCACCAGGTGGCATGGCTGCTTACCCAGCACTTCCCGCCGGAAAGTCCAGGCACCCTGCAACGTTCCCCAAGGAACGACACATCTCTGGGGCCCAATCCAACCCCTAAAAAAGCAGCACAGTGGGACAGGCCCTGGGCTTGCGGCTCCCAGGAGCACGTGGTGGGTAGAAGCCACTGATCCTTTTAGAACTGAAACCACGACAGGATTCCAGGGTGAAGCAGGCACCTGCAGGAACCAAGAACCCAAAGGTGCCTCCCGGAAGCTACTCAGAATAGCAAAGGGGCAAGTTCAAGGGCTCCCTCGCCTCCCCTCAGCCTTGGCACCTCAAAGGGCCTGATGGGAGGCAGCAGCCTCCTTCTCAGGAGGCCAGCGGGAGGCTCTGTCTGCAGCCACAGGAGCCCAGAGCGCAGCCCCAGGTGAGGGCACCTGTGTCCGGCCGTGCTCCCAAGGCCTGGCGCTGCAGGCGGAAGGGCTGCCTGCTCTCCCAAAGGCCCCTCCTCCCTCTGCCTGCCAGCTTTGGACTTGGGGTTAGAGCCTAAGGCCAATGTTGGCATGGGGCACACCTTTCATCACTTGAAGCCAAGGTCCACTCAGGTTGACCCCCCCACCACCATGAGGTGCATTGCCACAACCTCCAGGAGGCCCAGACACCTCAGCTGCTAGGTAGGATGCCAGTGGGAACATGCCGGTGACCCCACAAGCAGAAGGTCTGGTGGCCCCGTGGCAGATGGTACCCCACGGAAAGCTTCCACTCCAGACAAACAGAAATGAGAGACTCTGAACCCACTGATGGTGGCTGAGACCTGCAGCTGAGGGGTCGCTGTCACGTGAGGCCTTCCGGTCAGCGGGGACTCGGGGCACTGCGGAATGGGCTTCTGCCTTTGCACCTGTTGCTGAAAGCTTCCCAGGCGCCCTGCACAGGGACACCCGCAGGACCAAGACAGAGCCCCAGGGCACTCTTGCTGGCTCTGGAGTGGATCAGACCATCCTTCCCCACAGGAGCTCTGGGGCACTCCGGGGGCCAGGAGGGGGCCCAGAGGCAGGTTTGTGGCAGGAACGACCTCTGGGTTTAGGGATCAGCTGCCGGCCACAGCCCTGCCACAGAGCGCTGAGACAGGGGCACCAGCCTCCTGCCTGCTCAGTCAGGGCGCGGCCAGGACGGGCGCTTCCTGCCTCGTTCCCGACTCCTACCGCTGCGGCTGCCTCCTGCTGCCATCAGGCCCTGCCAGGAGGAACCAAGGGACTCCCCAGGTCCTGTCCCTGGAGGAGGCCAAGGACTCGGAGCCCGTCGTCCACGAGCTCTTCCACCCGAGGCACCCACAGGACAGCCCTTCACCACGTGGGACAGGGCGCAGCCACTGGCTGGCCAACCCCACCACAGCAGCTGCTCTCCACCGGCCCCGGTCAGAGCCGCGGGACCCCGAGGACAGTCATGGCGAGGCGCCTGGGAACTGGGCAGATGCCCCACTGGCTGCCCCCTCCCTCCCCCCTCTGTCCTCCTCGTTTCCTGCCTCGTCCTCGAGTTCGCGGGAACAGAAAGCGCCCATCGTTTCTGCCTGGAAGACGGACTCTGCACAATCTGAACAGATGGGGCGGCCAGCGAAAGGACGCCAGCACAGGTCCTGCCGGCGCACAGGTGGCCCTGCACAGGGAGGGCTCCGGCTGGCGGAAGGCGAGGACACGGCAGGAGCCTTTCTCCATGACTGAACTAAACACCCTCGGACTGGCGTCTTGTCTCCAGGACGACACTCGGAAAACGCCAGGAAAGCCATCGGTATGCCCTGTCACCTCTGCCACCGAGTGTCCCTGCTGTTAGGAGTCACTTCTTTCTCCCTTTGAGGGGGAGTGGGGACCCCTCCCTCTCATGAGGGGAAATTCATAGCGGGTTGAGGAGCTGCCCAAAGTCGCCTGGAGGTCAGACCCCAACCCCACTGCGCCCTGGAGCTGCTCCTGCCGTGGGCCGCGTGGCCTCCTCAGAACTCCCAGCTGCCTCCCCTCCGAAGAGCAGAGCGACAGCCATGGGGCAGGACCCACAGCCGGAGCCACCGCCGCTGGAGGAGAAAGGTGACTAACAGAGACTGCCACAGAAGTCACCAGGGGGCCCAGCGGCTCGGCCAGCGCAGGACCCGGGGGCCATCGCCAGCACACTCCTGCCCATGTCCAGTTTCCCTGCTGTGAGGGGGGCTCCACAGGCCCCGTGAGCCCGCCTCCCGGCCGCGCCTGTTGGCCTGTGCTGCGGAGCTCCTGTCGGTGTCCCACGCTCCTGCGAGTCTAAAACTGTTTCAAAAGTGAGAGAAACCTGAGCCCTGGAGAGTAGGCTTCCTCTGGGTCTCAGAGTGTGGTGAGACTGACGGGGGTCAGCTGGCAGAGGGAGGGGCAGGTGGTCCCCATGGTGACATCTCAGTGAAGGGCTGAGTCTGGCACTGCCACCTGCCAGAGAGGACACCCCTGGCCTGGGAGGGAGGTCTGGGTGAGCAGCTGGCTGGGCAGGGAGCCAGGCAGGGGACGCAGCGAGGGGAGGGGGCGGGCAGGCCTGTGCCACACAGACCCCTTCTCTCCAGAGAGGAAGCAACCGCGCTGAGACCAGGGCCCCAGACGGGGCTTTGAAGACAGAGTTCCGCATCCTGGTGTCCTTGGCCTAACTCTTCTGAAACTACGCTGGCCTCCTGGGTGGCACAAAGGTGTCTGGGATCCCAGGGACAGAGTGCTCCTTACCCACAGGAAACCTGTGCTTGGATTTTTTTTTTTTTTTTTTTTTGGTACCAGGGATTGAACTCGGTGGCACTCGGCCACTGAGCCACATCCTCGGCCTATTTTGCATTTTATTTAGAGACAGGGTCTCACTGAGTTGCTTAGCACCTCACTATTGCTGAGGCTGGCTCTGAACTCACGATCCTCCTGCCTCAGCCTCCCAATCCCTGGGATTATAGGCCTGTGCCACCGCGTCTAGCTAGAAGTCTGTGCTTTGAGCAGGAGGTGAGGCCACAGGAGAACCCGCCCACCCACCGAGCGTCTGGGAAGAAAGCCCCCCACTACACCTGCCCGGTGGTGGGTCCCTTCCTAACTGCCTCCCAAGTCACCTGTGATCCTGTTGGAAATGCTGAAGAGCCTCGAGGTCCTCTGCCGCTGGACGAACGGCTCCCGGTAGTACCGGTCCCCAAAGCACATGCCCAGGAGCTCCTTGCGGACAGTCTTGTTCCAGAGTCCATAGATCAGGGGGTGACAGACGGCACTGGTAAAGGACAGCCAGGTGGCCCAGGTCTCCAGGGCTGGGGAGACATAGTTCTTCCCCCAGAGGGCCTCGGAGGTGATGACGACCATGTAGGGGCCCCAGGTGACCATGAAGGCACCGATGACCACCAGGATGGTGACGAGGGCCTTGCACTGGTTGGCCGAGTAGGCCACTCCCTGGAAGGCGCTCCTCCTGCTGCCCGAGGAGGAGGTGGAGGTGCTGGAGTTCTTCCTCCCGCCCCTGCGGGCGTCCTCCTCCATGATGACCACTGTGCCACAGTGCACCTTGCGCGCCTTGACCCTGGCCACGCGGAAGATGAAGCCGTAGCACACCAGCATGACCAGAAAGGGGAACAGCGCGCACCAGATCTGCCAGAAGGCAGTGTAGCCAGGCTCCCGGTGCCAGGCGGCCACGCACATCCACTTGAACTCGTCAAACTCCACCGAAGACCACCCGAACAGCGGGGGCAGGCAGCCGACCAGGGAGTGCAGCCAGACGTAGACCAGCGCCAGCACGGCCCTGTTGCCCGTGATCTTCATGGGGTACACCATGGGGTACAGGACGGCATAATAGCTGGAAGAGGGCAGGGAGGCAAGAGAGGGAGGCAAGAGAGGGCGTCAAGGGGGGCGGCACCTGCTCTCGGGGGGCCCCACGCCCTGGGCCCACCCAGCCCCCCCCACAGGAGTGGCCGGCCGTCGGTGGAACAGCTCTGCAGGCCCTTCGGCATGGGCCGGCGGGCGCTGGGGGAGCAGACCTCGGAGGTGCTGCTTCCAGGTGGCCTTCCGCATCCTGGCGTCCCCGGCCTAACTCTTGTGAAACTACGCTGGCCTCCAGGTGGCACAGGAAGGTGCCTGGGATCCCAGGGACACTGGTGTGCTCCCTCCCCACAGGAAACCTGTGCTTTGAGCCAGAGGCGAGGGTACAGTCCTGGGAGAACCCACCCACCATCAGAGCAGCCCTTGCAGGGGGTCACAGGGCTGCTCTTGCTGATGGTAATCCACTCAGATCAGTGTCCAGGATCTTAAAGAACCCAAAGGTTGCCGGGCGGGTGGTGCACACCTGTAATCCCAGGGCTGGGGAGGCTGAGACAGGAGGATCAGGAGTTCAAAGCCAGCCTCAGCAACTGTGAGGCAGGAAGCCACTCAGTGAGATCCTGTCTCTAAATAAAGTACAAAATAGGACTGGGGGTGTGGCTTAGTGGTCGAGTGCTCCAGAGTTCAATCCCTAGTACGCCCCCCGCCCTGAAAAAAAAGAACATGAAGAACGTGGACATTGCTCAGTGGGCACTTCCTGAAAGCCTGGACATATAGGTGAGGAGCAGCGGCGGGGAAGGCAGACGGGCGGCAGCGGGGCTGGGAGCGGGACAGGCCAGACCTCACAGCTGTGAGCCGCGGTGTGTGGCTCTCCTTCCACAGGCAAGGCCACTGGAGAGTACAGGGCCCGCCCGACCAAGAGAAGAAACGACGTAAATGCGGGCCACCTGACCCTATGGTCCCCACGGCACATGTGAGCCGTGCCTGGCAAGCCACCGTGTTCCAGAGTCCAGGGACCAGGGACGGGGCGGGGCCCCAGTCGGCTCCACGGTGGAGGTCAGAGACCCAAGTCAGACGGGCGAACAGGCCTCCTGAAGGGGGCAACACCAACACCCAGGCCTGGAAAGGTGGGGGACACTGCCCAGGCCAGCCAGGCAGAAAGCGGGCCGGGCAGGTGTGCAGGCAGGTGGAAGGGCAAGCTGGTGCCGTCGGTCAGGAAGGGCACAGCAGGCAGGGGCAGGACACAAGATGCAGAGGGTGGGCAGGCGGCGGCCAGACGGCCCCGGACTGGACCTTTAACTGGGAATGGGCACTGGTAAAGGTCAGCCATTGGTCTAACTCAGACCTCAGGGCTGGAGTAGCCCCGTCCAGACTTCCCTCCACCGCACCGCCGCTTACGTGAGCAGGACTTTCCTGTGAGGATGGCGTGGGGGACAGTGTGGCCACACCAATGCTGCCCTAAGCAGCAGGATGCAGGGAGTGACCTCCAGGTCATCGTGAGACACCCTCCAGCAGCACTTTCTGCATCACCCTTGGTCCCAGAGCAGAAGTGCCACCTGCCTCCAGGACAGGCTGCCTCTAGGAGAGGCTGCCTCCAGTGTCCCCACAGCTCAGCGGGGCTGCTCTGATCTGCAGCTGAGTCAGGCCAACATCCGGCCTGGGGAGAGGGCCCTGCCGCGGCTGCCGCTGCACCCACGCGTGGGTCTGCCTCTGCAGAGGGTGTGCAGCCGGGGAGGAGATGCCTGGGAGCCGGCTGTGCTCCCACCGGCTGTGCTCCCACTGCTGTGCTCCCACCAGCTCTGCTCCCACTTCTGTGCTCCCACTGCTGTGCTCCCACCGGCTGTGCTCCCACCAGCTCTGCTCCCACTGCTGTGCTCCCACCAGCTCTGCTCCCACTGCTGTGATCCCACTGCTCTGCTCCCACTGCTGTGCTCCCACTGCTGTACTCCCACTGCTGTGCTCCCACTGCTGTGCTCCCACCGCTCTGCTCCCACCGGCTGTGCTCCCACTGCTGTGCTCCCACCGGCTGTGCTCCCACCGGCTGTGCTCCCACCGGCTCTGCTCCCACCAGCTCTGCTCCCACTGCTGTGCTCCCACTGGCTGTGCTCCCACCGGCTGTGCTCCCACCAGCTCTGCTCCCACCAGCTCTGCTCCCACTGCTGTGCTCCCACCGCTGTGCTCCCACCAGCTCTGCTCCCACCAGCTATGCTCCCACTTCTGTGCTCCCACCGGCTGTGCTCCCACCGGCTGTGCTCCCACCGCTGTGCTCCCACCGCTCTGCTCCCACTGCTCTGCTCCCACCGGCTGTGCTCCCACTGCTGTGCTCCCACCGGCTCTGCTCCCACCAGCTCTGCTCCCACTGCTGTGCTCCCACTTCTGTGCTCCCACCGGCTGTGCTCCCACTGGCTCTGCTCCCACTGCTGTGCTCCCACCGCTCTGCTCCCACCGCTCTGCTCCCACCGCTGTGCTCCCACCTCTCTGCTCCCACCGGCTGTGCTCCCACCGGCTCTGCTCCCACCGCTGTGCTCCCACCGCTCTGCTCCCACCGGCTGTGCTCCCACCGGCTCTGCTCCCACTGCTGTGCTCCCACTGCTGTGCTCCCACTGCTGTGCTCCCACTGCTCTGCTCCCCACGTTCTAGCTCAGCCCCCAGAGCTGCGGTGCTTCCTTCGTGAGCGGGAAGCAGCACCCCCATGCCCACCTCCAGGCCGGGCCCGCTCCTAGGAGTGGATGGCTCAGAGCCTGAGAGGCAGATGGCAGTGGGCAGGGCCTGCTCTCGCCTGTTCCCCTTGCCCCCGGCCCTCTCCCGTGACCCTTGGGGACAGTGGGCCCTCTGAGCCCTGGGGTGACTCAAGCAGCTGTGCGTCCTCTTTCCCCTGCCGAGTGCCCAGCTGAGCCACCGACCTGCATGACGCCATCCAGGCAACAGGAATGTGAAGGAGTTGGCTAGGGAGGGATGGGGACACTTCCAGGAAGATTCCTTCACTTCTCAGAAGACACGGGCCAAGATTCCTGCATTTCTCCACCTCTTTACAGAGTGGGGACCTCAGAACCTGGGGGTGTCAGCCCTCCGAACCCCGGGGGTGTCAGCTGGCTGTGGGGGACCAGGCTGCTGCAGGCTAACCGTCCTGGCTCCTTGGACCAACCCTGCTCCGGCAGTCATGACAATAACTGCAGCCAACAGGCGGTCCTCTGCTGGGCTGTCCTGCGGGCCTCCACTCCGCCGTGTCACGACTTCACGGCAAGCCTGTAGCAAACGGCTCTAGGTCACTGCTTGACGAGGTCCAGCCACTGGCAGCGCCCCAACACGACAGTGCCCCTCCCTCCCGAGTGTGCCTCTGAGGCAGGAAGGCCCTCGGGTCCTTCCCCTGAGGAGCCACAGGCCCTGGGGCCACCTTGCTTTTAGTCCTGATTTGCAGAGGGGGGTATAGGCCTTGGAGTGCAGCAATCCACGGCCCTGTCAAGGTGAGGGCAGTCGCCCGCCCACGTTCCTACTGAAAGCTGGTCTATGTGCCCTGAATCGTAAGCAGACTGGAAGCTCCGGTTTAAACCGAAGCTCCTGTAAGCTCAAAGAAAAACGGAACAAAAGCAAGTCCCTGTCCACAGGCCCCGGGAGTGGGCTGTCCCCTGCGGCTCTCCGTCCTTCTCAGACACCAGCCTGCACAGCCCTTCAGACCCCAAAGAGGCTTTCGGGTTGTCCTGAGTAACGGAGGGCCTGTGAGGAGCCCAGCTCCAGAGGTGTGGCCTGCCCCCGCCATGGCCACAGCACTGTCCCGCCAGCCGGCCCCACTCCCAGCTGCAGCAGCACTCGGCTGCCCCCCACGAAGGAGCCCTAACAGTGCAGCGACCTTCATCCTGAGCAGAGCTCCTGTCCTCAGAGCTGCCGTCTTCAGAACGGGTGTCATGGCCCACGGTGTGGGCGGAAGGCCACCCAGCAGCCCAGCCACCTAGGCTCCGATCGAGGTGACCACACGTGACCCCCAGCAGCAGTGACTTGCTCACGGGGAGCCCTGCTGGCGGCTTCCACTCGCGGGTTTGGTGACTGTCATTGCATTCTTTCCACCGTCTGCCTCTGCTCTGTGGGCTGTCTGTCCACCCAGCCTGACGGATTTCTTCCCTCTCCCCGGCCTCTCCCGCCCTTCCTTCCCAGTGCCCTCAGATTGAGTGACCACTGAGCAGCCTGGTGGACTCCACTCACTGGGGTTCTCAGCGAGTGGGCTGGGGGCATGGCTGGCAATGTCTCCGAGGTTGTGCGCTGTCACACCCGGAGGTGCTGCAGGAAAGCACCGTCTCCCTCCCTGAAAACGAGCCAATTCCGAGGGACACACCCCTCAGAAGGGTGACCCGTGAAACCTCAGAGTCTCAAAGGCACGGCCATGCACAGCATGGAGCACTACACAGACAGGGAGCATCTCACACCCAGGGAGCACCTCACACCTAGGGAGCACCTCACACCCAGGGACCAGCTCACACCCAGGGAGCACCTTGAACCCAGGGAGCACCACACACCTAGGGAGCACCACACACCCAGGGAGCACCTCACACCCAGGGAGCGCCTCGAACCCAGGGACCACCTCACACCCAGGGAGCACCACACACCTAGGGACCACCTCACACCCAGGGAGCACCTCGAACCCAGGGACCACCTCACACCCAGGGAGCACCACATAACCAGGGACCACCTCACACCCAGGGACCACCTCACACCCAGGGACCACCTCGCACCCCAAAGAAGCTGCAGACCACGGAAGATGACAAAACAGGCCACAAAACCATGTGTGCAGAGCCTATTTCAAAATCGACTGTGCACCACCCAAAGCCGCTGGAGGCAAACACAGCATCAGGGACTGTCCCTGGCGGATCAGGTCACTGGCACGGCCCCTTTTACTCTCTGTCTCATCACTGGGAAAACCAGACACGTGGAGAAGCTGGCGGGCTCCTTGTCCGGACGTCCTCTCCATCCTCGCCCTGTGCACAGGGCCCACAGGAGTCCGCCCAGGGGAGGCCTGTGCTCCTGACGGACTGTCCACCACCACACACCACCGAACACCCGAGGGTCCAGAGAGCCTGGGGACTTGGCACCAGTGAGGACACCCCAGTCTGCCGGCCACTGACCACATGGCACGAACCTTGACCCGCCCTCCTTCTCCACGTGGGGAGTGAAGGGCCAGGTGAATCCTGGCCAGGGGCTGAGACCTGCACGGCCACCTCTGCCAGGACAGCGGGGTCTGCAGCACCTGCAGGGCCCAGAGGAGCCAGCAGGGACAGTCCCCGCTGAAGCAGGCACATTCAGCCGCTCCCGGTGCCACTGTGTGCACTGCCCAGGCTGTCCTGTCCCCTGCTGCCCCTCCGTCCTGCACTGTGAAGGAGTGAGGGGGCCCTGGGGCCATTGCCAAAGTGAGAGCCAGCGGGCCACGTCGGGAGGAGTGGGCCCAGCCTGCTGCACCTGTCCTTCCTGGGCTCCGCGTTCACGGGGAAAAGGAGGGTCAGCGGTTTCCAGGCCGGCCTCTGTTTTGTGCTTTCAAGCAATGGAGCTTACAAAAAACTGCAGTCACGCGTCCCTTAAAACAGGGCACCATGCTGAGAACCCGTCACCGGGCAATTTCGTCACTTGTAAACATCGCGGAGAACACTGCATGGAACGGACGCACACGGCTGCCGCCCTGGATGACGGGGACCCGGGTGTCACACGGGGCCCACTGTCCACCCGAACCCAGGCAAAGGAAGCAGGGCTCCGGGCCAGGAGCCAAGAGCAGCGGAGACGGCTGGACCCCGCCCCGAGCGAGGCCTGGGAGTCTGAGTCGGGGACCAGGCCCTGCCTCTCCGTGGCCCTGCACTCCCTGAGGCCAGCTTACCGGTCGATGGCGATGACCCCGAGGGTGAGCATGCTGGCCGAGCTGATGAGCAGGTAGAGCAGGGCGGAGAAGTTGCACCACACGACCCCGAAGATCCATTCCCTGCGGACGGAGCTCGTCACCACGAAGGGCAGCACCAGCACCGACAGCAGGAAGTTGGACAGCGTCAGGCTGAAGACGAACTTGTTGCTGAGGGTGAGGAGGTAGGACTTCTTGTACAGGGTGACCACGACGACCAGGTTGCCCAGGCAGACGAACACGGCGATGACCACGATGGCCACGAACTCGGGGACACCGCTGCCCCCTGGCCCGCTCTCCTCCGCGGGGAGGTCGCTGAGCTCCTTCCTGTGGCCGAGGGAGGAGTTGAGGCTCATGGTCAGTGTGCCTCAGCCTGGGGTGGGCACAGCATGCTGGACGGCTGCAGAAACAAGACAGGACCGGGGACAGGAGGGGCCTCGTCACACATCATCTGCATGCAGCTTGCAAGAAAGGCAGCAGAGGCTCGGCCAGGAAGTCCCAGGCTGCCCCCCAGCCAGCCTCTCCAGCCAGCCTCCCTAGCCAGCCCCCAGCCAGCCCCTAGCCAGCCCCCCAGCCAGCCTCTCTAGCCAGTCCTCCGGTGTGCTCCCTCCCCTGTGTGTGGCTCACTCACTCTGACCTGAGGACTTCTTCTCCAGCCCAAAGTTTGGGTCTGCAGAGCCCCAAGGCCCCTGTGCTAAAGGCTCAGCCTCCACTTGGTGCTACTGGGAGGAGTGCAGCCTTCCGGAGGCAGGATTCATGGGAGGGTTAGGGCATTGGGCGTGCCCTGGAGGGGACCATAAGACCCCCGTCTCTTCCTCTTTCATCTCCCGACTGCCCTGAGGTGACCATCTCTGCTCCACCACGGTAGACTGCCTTGCTGCGGGCCACCTCCAGAACTGAGAGCCACGGTGAGCTCACCCTCCGCCCTTTTCCATTTCTTCTTACTGCGCATCTAACCCAGGGGCGCTTCACTGAGCCACGTCCCCAGTCCTGATTTGTATTTTATTTAGGGACAGAGTCTGAGTTACTTGTCTGAGTAACTCAGACTCTGTCCCTAAATAAAAGTAAAAGTCTGAGTCGCTTTTTGCTGAGGCTGACTTTGAACTCGCCATCTTCCTGTCTCAGCCTCCCAAGCTGCTGGGATTACTAGTATGCACCACTGGGCCCAGTTCCCCATTCCTTTTAATTTTTTATTTTGAGACAGGGTCTTGCTGAGGGTCTTGCTAAGTGACTGAGGCTGGCCTCAAACTTGCAATCATCCTGTTTCAGCCTCCCATCTTACTGGGAGCCTGTCATCATGAACGGCAGCACCAACATGGACAGCAGGAAGCTGGACAGAGCATGCACAACTGTGCTGGCTTTTTTGATTTTGGGCAGTGCTGGGGGTCATTCTCCAGCCCAAAGTTTGGGTCTGCAGAGCCCAAAGGCCCCTGTGCTAAAGGCTCGGCCTCCACTTGGTGCTACTGAAAGGAGTGAGTCATACCCAGGGACTCAATGTGTACTAGGTAAGTACTCTACCCCTGAACTACATGCTCAGTCCCAAACCTTTTTTCCTTAGAAGTTGATTATCTCAGGTATTTCATTATAGTAACAGAAAGATGACTCACCACCGGCCTAACCATTTTCCCAAAGCCAGTTATTCAAAACCTTTAATGTGCTTCAGAATCACCTGATGTACCAATTCAAAAAGCCAGTTTTTAGGTATCACCACTACAGATTCCTGTCCTGGAGATCAGGTACAGCTGGGAATCTGCACTTTGAGCAAGCCAGTGGGAGCAGTGACCCCATTACAAGTGTCCATGGGGGACACTGCAGAGTGCTGCTTTAGACTCTGCTTCTCGGGGGGGATACTGAACTGAAGAGGTGGCACCACCTTGGAGCTACCAGAGGTGCAGAAGCTCAGAGCCACTCTGACCCACAGAATCAAAGTCGGCACTTGGGCCCCGTCCTCAGCTGATTCCTGCACGTATGGGACAAGATCACGGCAGGAGCCGTTCTGGGTTCCCCAAGCAGGGGTCACGTACAGTCCATGGGGGACGCTGCACTGCTCTCAGCAGCCGTGGGAGGGAGGACGAGGACCCGGCACTGACCACAGGTGGGTCAGCAGAGGCCCATCTGAGGTCTTGCCCACAGACTGCAAGGTGCAGACTCTGCGCTCAGGAAACGGGCTCGGGATCCTGGCTGCCACTCAAGCCTCACACAGCTCCATGTCAGATCCCACAGACTCAAGTTCCCCCAAAACTTTTCACCTACTTCAGTCAGCCAAAAAGCCCTTTCCCCACCTGCTCTCGTTCTCCACGGTCCTGCAAGCCACATGACAGAAACCGGGGCCCAAACCGCCTCCACTCAGCCGCAGGACAACCCCCTTCCTAGTGGGCCTGTGGCTCTGTCCCAGGACCCATGGCCACAGGAGCCCACAGGGGAAGAAGCAGGCCTGCCCCTGGCAAGGGTCACAACACCTGCTGCACAGCTGCCCTTCAGAGGCCCATCTGCCCACACTGCTCCAGGCTGCACCGAGCAGTGGCCTCCCCACTCAGAAGGACCGACCAGTCCCGGGAAATGTCTGCCTCCCACCGGCTACTCATCCGCTGGTGCCTGCTCACAGAGACGGTGGCCCCTGATGTGTGTCCCCAGGCCGGCACAGATGGTCAGTCCTTCATCTCTAATGTAAGTTGCAAATGCTTCTCTGGTCTGATCAGGGTAGGTTCAGAGGGGCCGCTTTCTCCATGATGGGGACAATCTCCTTCCGAGTCACTCTAGGAAAGCATTTCTTGTACTTTATGTAAGTGTGTGGTCTACAAAGACCCAAGTTAATACATCCATGAATTTCTGGGAAGGCAGATGTCCCCCATCTTGAACATATGGAATTAATGTTTTTAAGCCTAAATACAAAACATTATTTCTACTAAATTTTATTTTGTACACTCAGCTCCTGATTCCAGGCTGTTAAAACCCTCTGCATGTTGATTTCGGTTACCCAACTTCTTCGTTACTCCGGCTTTGCACCACGAATAGACTCCGTAAGTGCACTGCCCACCCGTGTCTTTGGAAGTTGTTCCTGTAACTTGGCAAGCTCTGGATTTTGTGGGCTCTTATAACTAAATTATTAATTGGTGCTCAAAATAAAGCTTCCACATAAGCCTGTTACTCCAGACTTGCCTTGCACAAGGGGAACAGCGCGATCAGAGAAAGAGACAATGGAAAAACTGTCAGAAAACATTTGCAACTCACATCACAGATAAAGGACCAATCACTCTAATTTGTAAAAAATCCCTTCAAAATCCAACAGTACAGGACGGGGGTTGGGGCTCAGTGGTGGACGGGTCAAGAGCGCAGTTGGCACGGGCTCTGCAGCCAGCCTGACCTGGGCCAGGTCCGGGCTTCTCACCACCAGCCCTGCCCCCCGCCCCCGCCCAGGCTGGCTGCAGCTGCGTCCCCCTCCACGTGGACTGTCCCCTACTTGTGGATGAATTAACAAGCGTTTAGCAAGTCTGACACCTTTCAGTGAGGCAGTCTCTCCCGGGCCTCCCCAGGGGAGGGAGGGGCTCAGGCCAGGTTTCCACAGCAGGCTCTGGGAAGCCCCTGCCCTGACCCGGGATCCCAGCCCATCCCAGAGGTGAAAGGCCACTCCAGTCCCCCTGGCACAGCTGCCCGAGTGGCTGGGACGACCCTAAGGCCAAGAGGCTACTCGGCAGGCCCTGCTCACAGGAGGGCCTGGGGCGCCTGCTTCCTGCGTCCAGTGTGTGCACAACCAACCCACTCTCCACTTCTTCCCCCCGCCTCGCCGATGGCTCCTGCCCTCCAGGAGCTCAGACCCGAAAGCCCAGGTCCTGATGCCTCGCGTTCTCCCACACCCACTCTGGGCCAGCAACCTGCCCAGAACCTGACCACGTCTGACCACATCTCAGCCGCCACGCGCCAGTCCAGGCTCCGGGTTATGAGGACAGCTGCCACCAGTCCACCTGCTGGGCCCTCCCCCACTCTGCCCAGGTAGCAGAGTGAGCCTGACAAGGCAGCCAGCGTGGGACAGGAGCACTGCCCTCCAGAGTTCCTACCTAGACCCGCAGCGCCCACAGGGTCCAGCCCGGTCCCCACGACGGCTCCAAGCACAGAATGAACGCCCCCTCACTCCTGCCCCACGCACACTGGTTTACTGTTTCTACTGTTTCTCCAGACGTCACGCAGGCCTCACCAGGGCCTTTGCACTTGCTGACCTGTGCCCAGAATGCCCTCACCCCACATAGCTTGGCGGGTTGTTCTCACGCCTAGGTGAGCAAAGCCCTCCCCGGGCACTCTGCGCCACCCTCCCCCGGCCTCCCGCACAGCCCGGCTCTGGCCCCTTCAGTACGTTCTCTGGGTGTGCTCCGATGTTTATCAGGTTGACCTCTCTCTCTCTCAACACTGCAGAATCCGTGAGGACGAAGGCGGCCTGGTCTGTGGACACTCTGGTCAGATCTAGGACAGTGGCTGCGCCCAGTGGCTTTCACTGCGTGATGGACAGACGTACAAGGGAACCACAGGAGACCCCTGGACAAGGTAGGGTGTCCCACAGCAGCAGGGCAGGCGCTGGTACTTACGTCGGTGCCCCTTCTCCTCTCCCCACCAACAGAACTGACCAGCGTGGAGGGCCACGGCACCTAGGGAAGGCTTGCAGAGGCTGGTGGCCATCAGGCCCAGCCCACGGGTGTGGAGAGCTGTGGCTTTGGCCCTGTTCCTTCCCGTTCTCCCAGGGGAACTCACACCCACGTGTGACGGTGAGCAGCCGTTTTCTGGCCTGGCAGCTGAAGTGTCCCACAATGCAGACAGGACCCCCCAGCAGCCCAAGCCCGATGAGCTGTGGAGCCGCTGGGCAGGCCACGCCAGCCACCCCTACCAAGGTGAGTCCTGCAGCAGTTTCCTTTACACGCTCAGACATAACCCGAGTTCACACACCGTGGGCGTGAGGAGAGCCACGCAGGCGGAGGTGACTGCTGTGTGGCCGGGAAGCGCTGGTGCTGGGGCCTCGCACCCCACCCATCGTCCCCATCCACCCTGTCCTGCTCTCCAGCCCCGGCACCGACCCCCAGCCCTGATCTGGTCAGCCTCTCCCAGCACAACCCTAAACAGAATCAGAGACCCTGATGTCACAAGGAGAGGGCCTCGGGAACAACCCCCTTAGAAATGAAGCGAGCCCCAGCGAATGCTCTGCAAGGACTCGTCCTGGAAGGTGGAGCTTTTTCTGAATTGGTGGATTTCACCACTTAAAATGCCAACGCTGGGTATCAAAGTTTTAAGCAAAATTCATGCCAATCTGTCATAGATTCATCTATATTTTAAAGCAAAGTCCACAAAATGGTAATTTGCATAATGATTCAAGGTCATTAGGACCCAAGATGCATGGAATCTTGGTTCAGCAAAGAC